GTACTGCCGTGCCCTGGCTGTGCTACAGCCTTAGAAAGTGGATGTAAAAGATTGAAAATTGACAAGGAATCTCCTGTAAAAATTTGCCTAAAAATATTTCCATCCGTTTGTATTTTTTTTTTTTATAAAGTCTGGAGTTTTTTAACTTAATTGTTACAGGCTTTGCTTAAATTTGGGTTGTTATGTAAGATAAGACTTTATTACTGTTTAGCACCGGTGTTCTGTTTACCTCTGTGTTTCCCAGGGCTGTATTTTCTCAGTTCTGTTTGCTGAAAAATAAGGTGCAGAGAGAGATCTGCTTCTGTAATATTCAGTAGATTGAAAGGTCACGCTTGCATATTTAAATATAATATCATTAAGTGTGCCGAGGGGAAAAAGGAAGTGTAGAGAGAAGGGTCTGACTGGCACCAGGTAGGACAGTGCCATCCCAAGCCCCTGGCCAGGCACCTGCTGCCACCCAACAGGAACTGCCCCTGGGGGACTGTGCCTGCAGAGCTGCAACTACAGCTTTAATTTAAAGTAACAACAGCTTGGGGAAAAAAAAACCCAAAGGGGGAGTGTGTTTAATAAAAGCAGAAGCTGGGAGCTCAGATCCCTCTGGCAGAGCTGGGGCTGCACTGGCTCACTCACTGATGCAAGTGAGTTCCTCTTTGCTCACGTGTGTTTAAATTCAGTGGTCACTGCTTGGCTTTTGGCATTTCATGTTAACTTCTGCCGGCGAGTGCAGGCTGACTTTAGGAGTGTGTGAGCAATAGTTAGACTGAATTTTAGTTTCGTTCCAAATGCAGAAGAATGCCCGTGTAATTGAATTTTAGCTATGTGAGATAATGCAGCTGAATGTAAACAGACTTGGGTATTTGTAGTTTGAGGTGTCTTGGACACAAGAAATGTACACTTGGGTCCAAGTGTGACACGGAATTCATAAGGCCTGAGCTACTTTGGAATGAGGATTCTGTTGTTTGTTGGTATCTCTGAGTGTGTATTGGTGCTGATGGGCAACTTAAAAGTTCCTGTCAATACTTCTGAGGGAAATGGATGTTATTCCACAGTTGGAGTATTTGCAAAAGTCTTTGGTCTTCTAGTCTGATGTGTCATTGCAGTGTCTGGAAGGCACAGGTGACCCTGCAGCTCAGTTCCAGGTCAGAGGAGCGATCAGTGTGTGTTGTTGTGCTTCCCGTTACCTCACCGAGGGAGATTTTCTCTTGGCAGTT